TTCCATATATGAAGCAATCAAGAAAAACAATTTTTAACGAGAAACAGGAAGATTATTTTATCATTTTAATTTACTTTTAATAATGATCAGAAATTTTTCACTACGGTGTCAGCCTTACTAATAAACGATCGCATAATTTAATATTGAAATTATACAAGCGATATTTCTTTTGGAATCCAAAATCAAAAGTTTGTTGTCTTCAAAGAACTAAAGCAACCATACAAGTGAGAAATGGATCCCTGTATTCAGTGTGGTAATAAACGCCTTCCTATTAACCGAAGGAGAATCGTATGACTTAGATTCCTCTACAAAAAGAACAAACTCTAAATAATGGAAGAATACAGAAAATTAAAAATGAAGAAACTATAATAAAAGATGGCATTAAAGAATAATATTTATAAAAGAACTTGAACAACATCATTAATTTAAAAAATCGCATAAAAATATCAGTTAGAATTTTGTTGGGTACTTTTTTTATTAATGACGGCACCACTTAGGGCCAAACATAAACGTTGGCACGAAATCTAACTAGACAACGACAATTCTGATCATTGATAGAGTTTCATGAAAAGAATAACTATACCAAATTTGCACAATTCTCGGATGTTTTTTTAAGCGAAAACAGATCGTTAATGGGCAGAACTGTTGCATACATTCGTTATGGCGCATAAGTTCGGCACATTTAACAATAAGCTACCACATTTAAAGTTTTTGTGCACATCTGGTAACTGACATCACGTTAAAAGAAAACTGCCATTTTGGGGACGGCAGCGTTCATCCGGCAGATATTAGCTACAATGGCTACTGTCATTCTATGCATTTTTCTTTTTGTAACCAGCTTTGTCGTAGAGTCTGAGACATTAGAGTCTGAGACATTAATTTAGCTATTATTCCGATATCAAGAAAGTTAATTATTATTATTGTTTTATTTTATTTATTTATTTTGGAGAGAGTTCAGTTATTCCACACCAGCTAATAGGGGAGTTGATTGTATATATCAAACTTTTAAAATGCATCGACTGGTGTGATATTCACATCTTTGACACTTAGACACAAAACCAAAGTACCTCAGAATCCTTGTGGTTACCACAGGTATATTTGCTCAAGGTTATCTCTCAGGTATACTTGCCATGAAGCGATGTCTAACGTAACTAGACAGGAAGGAAGTTCCATCCTGTACTGATTCCTCCATGAGAGTAACATTCGTAATCTCCTGATGAATTATATCCTGAAGATATTAATATCAGGAGGGTATGAGTGAACACTTTTTTTTAATGCATTTATAAAAGAAATTTTCTGAGATGAATGTAATCAAATGGAGGAAAAAGGGGAATGTAGAACATTTTTTTTGGAGGAGGGGATGGATTTGAAACTAAACTTTCCATTCACATTCTACCTAATATAAACAGTCTTAAAAGTGCATTCCAACAAGAAATTACGAATGTTATGCAGGAAACTCTACATCGCCTGAGGAAGGCCAACAATGCGTTGATTGTACTGATTGACATCAGCAAGATGATATTGTTACGAAATGTACAGGCGCGGTAAGATGGCTTCCCCGCAAAGCAGTTTTAGGGTTGCCATATACTGGCAAGGAAAAGCACGGTTGCCACATTCGTCGAGAAATCGCCCATTTGGGGACAAAATTGGCGATATACCATGGACGGATGGAGAACCTTCTGGAATGAATTCTTACCGGTTTAGCCCAGAATGTTCTCGAACACAAGCCGAAAGCTATATAAACCCTGCTGGTCCGCAGTCAGTGTGTGTGTGTGTGTGTGCCTCGTCTAGCGAGCTGATAGTCAGCCATTGAGCGAGTGTCTCGAAGTCTCGCGCCGAGTTGGTCGTCGAGTGCATCAAGAGAGTCTTTTAGTGTATCGCGAGTTAGTGCATCGCCGAGTTTTGTCTTAGACTGTGCTGAGTCGAGAGCTATACTCTTGTGTATCGTCGAGTGCATTGCGAATTGAGCGTGGAGAGCCTAGAGAGTATGTGAAGTTCCGAGAACGACCAAGCAGAGTCGGGAGCTGTACTCTGGTGCTTTGCAGTGAAGCTGTCTCCACCGTGATAGCCTGATAACCTGAAGGCTGTGTCGCTGATCGTGTCAGCGTGTTTACAGTACATCTTCGACGACTGTAAAACGTGACTTTGGAGCTGTCCTGATCAGGCTAAATAAAGTGTGTTTCGATACTTTATCAAGTGTCGTCGTTATTCGCTCCAAATCTACAAACCCCGTACGAACGTGAAGGAAGAAAATAACATAACAACTGGTGTCAGAAGAAAAAAAAACCGTAACAATACATTGAAGAAGAGAGGCCTGTTTTATAAATCTCAGATACTGACTTACTTAACCGTGAGCAGTTTCGTTTATTACTTGCTGTGTACAAAAATGTGATTCTTTGAAACAATTACTTTGGAAATGGGTAATGTTAAACGCCGTAACCTGTACTTTGCATTCGAAGCACAAAGTTTTTCCCATTAAATAGAATATTAATTATTTTTTCGATTACTAATAACTAGAATACTGATTTTAGAGCGAGAACTGGGTCTAAGATGGCAATATTTTCTATTTCATGCTAACATTAATTCTTGCTCGGTAACTCGATAATTTTGGGTTAAAAATCGCGAATACATATTGTAAGCATAAAAAGCATATAATAACATAAACTGTTATGTTGTTTAAAACGCATCTTCTGAGTTATGGGCAGTTTTAAGGCTTTTAAACGGCCAAATCTGAAACAATTAAATAACAAAAGAAAAAGAGTACTTACTCCTTTTTTTACCTCTCAAGACGGCTTGGCAAGAATTAAAGAACCTCTTTTTAAGTCATCATAATTCTCTGACAAGAGAAGAAATAATTCGGCATTTATCACAATAGCGGCACTCGCAATCCATCACTACAGACCACAGACCACAGAACAAGACACTAATAACTGGAATGAGAAGGTGGGAAAAAAACAAAAAAAAAAAAAAAAAAAAAAAAACTCTTGCCGGAGTTGATTCTTCTCTGAAGACACGCACAAAAGACAAGTCACTGCAGGAAGGGGATAACTGCTAACTAGGCCCACCAACGTTTGACACGCTGCGTCCACAGATTAGCCAGGATCATCAAATGAAGGTAATCCTCTGTGGTCTTCCTCTCTTTACGCATTTTTTTCTCTCCTACTCCCTCGTCCTTAGTTCTTCTTTTCGAGGAGTAAGTTCTTTCTAGGGAAGTTCTTAATCCCGATGCGAGGTGCGATGAAAGATTTGGGATTGGGCATTAGGGTGGATGCTTTAATTAAAGTCTCCGTCTGCCCAGTTGGAAAGGATAACAAGCTGAAGTAGACTCTTCTTTGCGGGCAAGAGATAATAACGCAAGAGCAAACGAGGGAAAAACAAACAAAGAAAGTATTTTTTTATTTTTGTTTCTTAAATAAAAGGGGTTCATAGTCAAGATCTCTAGAAATCATAACTAACTACTTTTAACATCTAATTCATGAAGTAATTATTTTCAATACATCAGTAATTAGCTTCTTTTTTTCTTTTCTTTTTTTCACCCCTATTTTTAGTGGATAATTTGACTTTGACGGATTTACATTTTGATTTGATTGATTATTTTCAAAAATTTACGTAAACCATATTTTGATTTTTGATGTATTCGGATTTTGATGAAACTTACATTTTTCTGACTTACTATTTTACAAAAAATATATTAATTATTTTCATCGACATAAACCGTTTACTTATTTTCGATTGTTGTTTATTTATTATTTTTTTTTTTATTTAGATTTCGAGAGATTTTACATTTCGATCTAATTGCTTATTTAAAAAATCTATCGAAATTATAATAAGCATCTTTAATTTATCAAATCGTTTAATAAATACTTCTAATAATTATTAAACGAGTATCATCACACGATTTATTAAACGATATCTTCTCAGTCATTAAAAATAATATTCTTCAATAGTTCCATACTTTTATTTACAGATAATCCGACTTCATTGTTTAAAATGTTTTGCTCATTAAATTTTTTTTTTTTTTAAAAGTTTTACTTACTTTGCTTCTTCTAAGAGTTCGATAGGAAAGGAACATGATAGCTCATGCATTTAAATAACTCCTTTTACGCTAATTTTCAGTCGGACAGTGTATTTTATATACGAAGGTTTTTGATTAAAATTTATACCTGTTCATAGCTAGGATATTAAACTTAAATTATAGGCACTTTGTTCAACAATCATACCTGAACTAGTTTGTTAAATTCACAAGTACCTTTTCAAATTTCTGAATAAAATTTTGGGCTTAGCTCTTAATTCCAAATAACATTTATAAACCTATTTCTAAATTTTGGAAGAATATATTATATGAATATTACGAAATGGAGTTATAACAAAAATTTAATTTATATATGCCTTGCTTTCCTGTCAGTTTGTTATATTTTTTGTATAGTTTTGATGCTAATTTTGTTTTGCCTCTTCTTATTTTCCTCCCTTCCAATTAAAACCCTCACATCATTAAATTACTTCATTCTCACATTTCAAAATAGGATTTTTAAATGAAACAGTTACATAAAGATATTACGGATGATTTAGAAAGAGGAGCTAGTATAACTGAGATAAACTAAATTATAATGTACACTACTTTTTTAGAAAATATATATTCGTAAAATACTTAAAACCTGCACACCAGCATCATAAGTTATATAACTTTCAAGTATTATTTTCTCTTTTTTCCCAATACTCCGCACGTAACATGAAAAAGATGCTTTTAATTGTTCACTTTTTTCTTATGACTGTGGGGAATGCTATCCGTTCCAAACTTATACGACGAAAAGTTTTCATTTCTATTAAAATATTTACAAAAAATATTTACAAACACAAATCTGGCGATTTTTTTTACATAAATTTTGCTATAAATTTAGTAAAATCTCCTATACATTTTTGTTAAGTTCAGATCAGTATATCAAAATTATCTCGAATTACATTTTGATTACGTTTTAATACCAGACTAAAATACTAACGTGGAGCAATGAAATTTACTTTTATTAGACACTTTCGATTTACCACTGTATTACTTTCCGTTATCCCTAACGAAAATCTTTTCTCTTTTCTTCGCCACAAAAATGATGACATAAGCTTTTTCCACGCAATTCGATTTTAGCGTTATCCGTCTTATAGTTTAGCTGTCGCGAGACAAGACGAAAAACAATAACCGATAGATGGTTACTCAAGGAAAGCTACCATTAAATAACTGCAGCGATTATTGTACGATTAGTCGACATTGTTCAAGACGAAGTCAGTCATCCTTCACCGCCGATTCCGAATCATCAATATAATCCTTAGCTGAATTGTTTTCCTTGTGGTAGACGAGGTGGCAGAAGACATTCCCCCCCTTTTCTTCCTTATTTCTCATCTTTGCCACCCCCTCATCTCTACAACAAGAGGACCTCCTTCTTTTTATTACCATTTTGGCGCGACGAGGGGAGGGTGATGGGCTAGCTGGACGCATGATTAATGGTCATCCTTGACCCGCGTGTTGTCTGACAGGAGTCAACGACTGCTTCGTGCCGTTGCAAAGATGTTTTTTTCCCTGCTTCTTCTACTCGCAAATCTTTTTTTCCTCGCGATCTCTTGTGAATGTCGCGATGCCCAACATTGTGATGGATGGTCGCCAGCAAAAATAGCTTTGTTCTTTGGACTGGTCTGATGCCGGAGATGGCCGAAAGGTGAAAAGATAATGCACTGTGGACGGTAACCGAAAACGGGTTTCTAGAAAAGATTCCAAGGAGGATGTGGAGTGGTGTGCTGATAGGCCGTTGATAAATCGGTGATTGTGATGTAGTACAATCTGATTGCAAGACCGGGTACTCACAGCGTTCCGCCCAAGATTACTGCATGGCATATTACAACCATCTGGGGAAAAAAAAATGAAAAAAAATATTTAATATGAGAATTACAACAATCTAAATACAGACAAGAAATTAACAGAATACCGAATTTCCCATCGCACAATCAAACACAAAAGAATAAAAATTCTATATTAAAAGTACCCAAAAAATAATAAGCATAGGAATGCGAAAAAATGTACACACAAAAAATTATCACACATCAAACAAATACAAGTAACTAATTAAAATAAATTTGTAACAATTTTCCAACGCGTGGATTCTCAAATTATGTGCTGCTGTTGTCTTGTTGTAAAGGTACACAAGTAATTTGCAATTATACTTCTTGTGCTGTGACTGTTATGCATTTTATTACATCATTTTAACTGATAAGATTATATATTATTATTATTTTACTATTACGATTATTATGATCGTTTCTTCGTACAGCAAAATAGCAATAGTAATTATAGTACTGAATGTAATGTATCTATAAAGGCAATATTATTCAAGAAATTAGAGAAAATTATCAAGAACAAAAGACAGGTACAAAGTCAGAAAGCTCGAGATTTAGGTTAGATTATTTGAAATGGCACAGCACACGAGGGCTTTCTGCCCAAAGGAAAGGATGCTTTCCTGCGGGATTTTCTAAGAGAATCTCTCTCATATTCACACTGAAAAGTTTGGAAACCCCATCAATTATATGTCAGTTTTTAATAGGTACACCATAGTACATCGGAAACTATAATCTGCGAAAAGACGAGTATGTTTTGTAATTATTTTGAGATCATTTTTGTCGATGAATACTGATGGGGCCAAATCCTAACATCAAATTTACTTCAATAACTATTTTAAAACCTTCAACATTCTAAAATTACAACACAAAAATGTTTAGTGAATTCGTAAATAACAACAATATTGATAGGTTAAGATTTAAACAAAAAACAAAAAGTATTAAACGATTCAAATCGGAAGCAAGTTTATAGGGAGTTATCGCACTCTCTCATGCGTGTGGCGTAAATGGTAACAAATCTAGCTAACTACTATTATACTCTGGTTCGGATCTCAATGAGGGTGTAGTTGATTACTTCACACTTCCTGATCTGCAAAACTCAATGTCTCAATAAGTTATCCAACACTGCTAGAGCAATAAGTTGGATTTAGTAGAACACAAGTATATAAGAAAAATATTAAATTATTAGATTCCTACAATTATTAGCTGGGTACAAACAATTAATGGCTGTAAGAATATGTCACTTCGTCAGGTATTCATTTACTGGTAAATTAGTAACTTGCAGTATTTTCTATTTGTATATGCTTTAGCGACCTAAGTTTCCAAAAATTATATTCTCCGTATTATCAGAAGGTTTGTAATTAATACAGTTGCTCTTATTTCAAGTTTATCAGATCTATCCATAGACAAAGGGTTCAAAACTGAGATTTAAATCAATGGAACAGAACAGACAGAACTTTCATATAAAGCGATCCTACAGTCAGTAAAAATTTAAAAATAAAATGCATGTATAAAAATATTTTAAATTCACGGTTTTAGTTAAAGGAAAAAAAAAAAAACTGATGTGAACATCATACCATTTCCTTGTACGCCTATTAAGTATTCTTTTTAGAACAAACAATAAACTGAAATTAAATATTATTAAATACTAACAACAATAAAATAATATTAAGTATTGTTAGATATTTATTCTTACACTAACTACATATATAAACTATTATTATATATGTAGTTAGATTTCATTGGTTTTCAAAAATTAATATGACTTTTTTTCAATTTGACATTGCCAAAACAAGAATATTTTTATCATTTAAAATACGCCTGGAATTGGAAATGTATGAATGATTACGATCAACGATTGTGAAAATAAATGCCGGGTAAGGACTTTTAAGCCAGGTAAGGGAGTGAGTACGTTTACTATATTTGGTACCGTCAAGCGCAATAAAGAAAGGAGGTGCACAACTAGATGTTATACCAGTCACATACAAAAAATTTCGAAGTTCTACGGTTGTTAGTATTTAATAATTTTTGAGTTACGTGAGATACATACATACGTAGGTATACGTACCGACGTGAAAAAAAGTCTCTTTTGAATGCATTTTAAAATCTGTTTTGGAAAAACAAGTTCTTTATTCTGTCGACGCGTACAGACGTCATGCAAAAAAAAATCGTCCAAATGGATTCGGGAGCAGTCAAAACGGATATCTCTGGTGAAATATGATACCCGAAATTTTTCGCGATTACAATATTTCCTTTACTCCGTAGAAGTGAATAAAAATTCAGCTACAATAATATTCTTTGTTATATGTGATAAAAATAAAATCGCTGGCAATCACACACGAATTGTATTACAACTTAGTCAGAATTTCTAGAAACCTTAGAACTACAGAAAGGATATAAAAAAGAGCAATTATATTTAACAGTACTTAATTTTTTTTGACAATCTTGATTTAAAATCTGCCATTACCAGCTCTGCAATTTTATTTACAGTCCCATATATCATTATGAAGGGAAAAAAAATAATTTTTTTCACATTTAAGGTAAAACCGTGGAATTTTATTTAGCTTTCTTACTAATTCACTTCATTTTCTACTTTTCATTCCACAGAATGATAAATGTAATACATAAAGAAATTACAGGCTTTGACCATGGAAAAATAACTCCTTTTAACCAATACAGAAAATAAGTAAATGTGACATTATTTATTTTTTTAAGGTTTTTAAGGATCTTCCGATCTATTGATGGCGAATGTACATTCAGTTCATATAAATTCTGTTTAACTACAAATCCAATCTCATCATCATTTAAAAATATGAGGTTATTACTTATGCAAGACTTAATCATTCGTTTGAAAAAAAATTCAACATTGTTAGTAACTGCATTATAGCTAAATTGCTTTTTGAACGAAACCAACGAAAAAGTGAAAAGTTCGCGCCTTATTTTCAAAACTAATGACTGCAGAATGTCAGGACTTACGAACACTATTTACGCACGACCTTACACTTTCTTGCTATACAGCAATAAATTACAATGTAGTATTTTACTTTCTCTTACATTTTTTCAGTGCTCATTATAACAAACATTAAGTCACAGAGCCTCTTGTAAGCAATATGTGGTTATACTGGTAGCTTATATGAAAAACTTCGCGGCCAAGCGATTGGCCTACAGAACACTTTAATTTAAAAACTCCACACTACTGGTGACAACATGAATGGACAGACTGGTGACAACATGAATGGACAGTTAAAAGTTCGCAGATATTTCCCATCAAATAGCATCCATAGGCTTAATCATTTCATAACCATCACAACTATAACTCATTAAATCCTTTTCACACATTCAAAGCGTTTAAAACTTGAGCTCCTCTCTCCCCTCCTGTTGAGCATTCACAAGTGCCTTCTAAGCGCTTTTTATCGGCACGGCAGCACGTAAGTAACTGCGCACTTATCACTACATTTATTCCAAGAACACCTGGTGGGAAGCCTAAAGAGGCCACGTATCGCACTTTAAAAGGCGGTGCTCATGTATAACGAGCCGTGAAGGGTCGCACGCTAACACCCTCCAGTAAACAGACACTGCCCCCCATCAAATCCTGCATTCATAACAAACACTCAAAAATTGAATCTTGGGCGTCGTGTTCATTATCCTAATTATAGGGAGCTTAATGAGAGTGGCTGCGGCGAGTTGCTTAAGAGGTAATCACGAGGGAACTCAGATTACCTGAGGGATGCTATTTCGGGTACACGGACCACTCTTGTAATTAAAGGACAGTCCTTTCCTGGGAGGGAAGCTCACTCCCGGCAGATGCTTCTTCGCTTTACTTAACTCTATTAGCCATTAAGTCCGAAATCTTTTCCTTCAATCTCAGAAGGAAGCTTAATTTCAGATGGCCCCTCTCACCTCAACTCTTCAGGCGCAGAGCTGCGATTATCAGATTCTCATGGTCCCGTATATAAAGAAAGGTTTCTTAAATAAAGTAATTAATGAAGCTTTATATTATAGTAAAAAGTTCTGCAGCTGGTTGTAAAATGGAAACTTAGTGGCAGCACATCGAATACCGGAAAAGTTATAACGCACAGGAGCACAAGAACTTAAATTAGATGCCGTGGTCTTGAATATGAGAATGCGACTAAAAACAGTTATAATTTTAGAGTTAAATTTAGTAACATTTAAGTAAATCAAAGGTAACACCAAACCTTCAGTAATACAAAAAAGTTAAAGTTCCTTTCCTGTCAAATTCTTAACTTCAACTTACTACTTCCGGTCAGAACGTAGTTTTGGAATCACTCAGAATATTTAATGAGGAGGGTATTTAAACCGCGAAGTCTACTTGCTGAGTTAGAGAGAATCACAGTTTCTGATTTGCACGCGTCTGCCGTTATTACGCTCGACCGTACTCAAGCCCTTGATAAGCTTCGTAGTCAAATAGAGTTAAGGGGCCAACTCGATTAGAATCTTGATAGCTTCGGCTATATCTCTTTAGTTAATCTTAGTTTTAGTTTATTTCTTAGTCTCTTATGTTCAAGCTCAAGTGTCGGCTTTTATTGTACACTCCAAGACGGAGTTTTGTTAAATCTTACTGAAATAATAAAGAGTTAGTTACCCTTTTATCTTGTTGTTTCTTGTCACATGAACTTAAGCGATTATTCGCTAACTGGTTCTTAAGATTCGTCACTTTCTACTAACTGAGAATCTTACATAACTATAGAAGTAAGAGTCATTTTTTAATTAATTAATTTAGACGTTTAATTTTGCAGTCCGTATGGTGTACAGGACACTCGGAGGAGTTGCCTAGGAACCCTGCATTCAGCGGAAGTCAGCCTAAAGACACTGCCTTAGGCTGATGTCATTTAAGAATATTGTAGTCTTTGAAAGATACAAAAAAAAGCAGAGAAAATAATGAAGAAAATAATTTCAGATAAAATAATGTAATCAGTAGAAATGGTAAGGTTTTTTTTTTAAAGCGTACTACCGTTGTACATTTTTTTCTGTGTGTATTAAAGTACATCGTTATT